TTCAGTTTGTCACCAGATTCTTCCAGAAGCTGGCAGAGAGCAGGACCTAATTGAAATCCAGTTGACTGGAGCTCTCAACTAAGATCTGATAGAGGTGACGTTGATAGATCAAATGGTTGAAGAACTTGGTGGAGTCGTGTAGATGTAATCTGTTCAGCCACTTTTAAATCAGTTCGCAGTATTCAAGTCTTTCTCATCTTTGCAGCTGTCGCAGTGGTCAGAAACAAAAGAGTTTTTTTTGCCATTGTCTGTGGACGAGATTGCCTAGGGTGAAAACAATTACAGATCTTGTCTCGGTCATCCATGCTGCTTGCAGTTACTTCTGTCTTCAGCTGTTGGAGTGGTCTGGATGTGTAGGCTTTAATTCAAAATCTTTGGGAACAGTTTAGCTGGGAAGACTTGGTTACCAGCCTTTACTGTCTTTCCATCCTCCTACCTCTTTTCATCTGTCACCTCTCCAACATGATGTTTTTATTTCCATTTTTATTAGCATACATGGCTGCATGCCGCGTTCAGCTGCAGCAACGGTAACCTCCAGAGTGTGAAGGAATGGTCAGCTGGGTCTGGTACCTGCTTCAGCTAATTCCTTCTGTGCAGACCAAGATTACTGGTAAAATTTCTCATCTTAATGTATAGTGGAATGAAATTGAAGAGCACCCTGCTTTGGCATCCCGTTGTCTTTAATCAAATGCCTGTTAAGTGATTGTTGAAATTCAGAGTGCAACTATCCACAAAGGTCTGTAGTTCAAATCATAATGATAAAAAAAAAAATAATCAATAAATAGCCTCCAGAATGCAGAAGGCTATTGTTCTGTGAATTAAATACACATTTTTGAAACCTCTTTGAAAATATGTATAAAGCCTAGGATTCACACCTAAAAGGTCATATAGAAAGTATTTACTTTTGTAGCTCATTGTATCAGATTCACAAGTACCTACACTGAATGTATAGTTCAAGTGGTAAGTATCTGTTGCAGAAATAGAGCATTTCAGGCCTCATATGAACCCACAATGTTGTGTTTGGATTTTTTTTTTAAATTTCTGCTGATAAGAGCACCTAGGTCATTACTATCACCTGGGAAGTAACTTTACCGTCCTTGATGAACCGTTCAATAAACCGTTTATTGAAAGTAGATTTTTTTTTTTTTATTGAAATGCCTACCTGTTGTACTTACAGCATAAATTATCAGGTGAATGCTGTTAAGTTATAGTGAGCGAGGAAAATTGCAAAAACACGAATTAGGGTCCCTGTCCTTAAGTGTATTTCAGTTTGCATTTTGATAGCAGTTTAGAAATGTTATCGCCTCTTTTGTCACAGACATAATTCACATCTTTCTTCAGGCACTGTAAACAAGAGAAATGGTTTAATGGCTCCATAAAAGGCACTCTGTGCTGATAGCTGAGATTAGACCCTTTAGTAATGGATTTTTGTGTGTTGGGGGAAGGGGAGGGCTTGGCAGAGGTAAATGTACTGGAAAAGAGTTGGAGAGACTCTGATGTATCAGAAGTGCCTGCTGCATTTCTGTGTGTACTGGGAAATAAATTTGAAGTGTGGCAGTATCGGCTTTATCAGTACAGAGGCGTTCTCTTCTTGCTTTTGAAATTTTACCATGTACTAACTTGGGTCACCTCCATTAGTCTTAGCACCTGGAGTTGTAGTGGTATTAACTTAAATATTTTTACATCTTCTGTCTTTTTCACTTGCTGTTAAGAAAATCAAATCCCCTCTATTGAAATGTGTTCAAGAAATCGCTCTAAACTTACATTGCGTATTAGCAGTATTTCCTCAATCTATCAAAAAATGAATGAGTTTATTTACTAAATCGGGTTTAGAAGGTGATTTGAGAGCATAAATGTGAAAAACAGTTCAGAATCATTCAGCAGAAATGTTTAGGGCATGATTTACTGTGACTTCCTGGTTACTTCTTTTTGTGTGCAGGTACACAAAGTCCTCGAACTTAATACACATGAGTGTAGTATTGCCTAGGAGACATTGGAGTTCACTAGCACAAGCAAGGTTGCTGCTGTCAGTTGATTTTATGCCATGTAGTAAATGCTCTTGCCCTACAAGTGTTGATAATAAGACATCTTTGTCTCTTGGTCAGTGGAGTCAAGATTGCCTGCCATTAGCCAATGTCATTGAATTGCCAGTAGTATTTCATGCCTTTTAAAAATATGTTTAACTCAAGTCTTCAGAAAATAAAATCAGGTTTTATTTTGTGTTCTGGGCAGGAATCTGAAGTTTGAAAATTATACATGTCTTTTTGCTCAAAGGAGAAATGACTTGCACTTTCTCATAAAATATTCCTCATTTCTTGAATAATCATCTCTTGAACTGAAAAGTATTTTAAACCATTGCTTTTATATTTGATGCAGTGCATTTCTGGGGATTTCTAAAAATAAGTGATTCAGTTCTATCTGTACAGAGGTGGTACATTTCTTATTTCTCAACCTAGAAAGTATATAAGTCCGTTTCCTCTGAGTCAAACCGATTCCTCCTTTGTTTTCAGAGCTCTTAATAAAATGAAGAACTTTCTTAAAAAAAACCAAAACTTTCTTCATTTGGATCTTAAAACTGGGTGTTACTATGAACAAAATGTTTGGGGATCAGGCTGTTGAGAGATAGCAAAGGAGAAGAGCACTTCAAAATGAGGGGTAGCAGGTTTCTCCTTGTGTTTTTGCGTGTTCTGTGCAAGGTTACTTCATGGTGAAACTATTATTGTTTTGTATAAAATCTAGTTCTGTACAACAGCACATTCTGTATAACGTGCAAGGTCTCTTACTCTGCAGATATAGATGAGATATATTTATGCACAGAGAATATGAATACAGTAACGTATTATACCTTAATCAGTTTGCTACAGGTGTTAGCAGTCCTTCTGCTTGCCTTATATCTGCATGTTGGCTTCGGAGGAGCTCCAGACAGGGTCTGCGGATTGAGTCCATACTGATAGCGATAAGCCTGACTTTCCCCAGTAGTTGATATAGGGTGTTGAAGCCATCCATATAAATACACATTGTAAGATTGTTTGCCTTTCAAGTTCGGAGGTAGTTATCTGTAAGTAATCACTCGGGATGAAATCTTGGCCCTTGGTCACTTCTTAATAAGATCGTTATTAAGGCAGAGTGGCTGTTACTTTAATAGGGTTGAGATTCTGTTCTGGGGTTAAGTAAAATGAATTTGCCATCAGGAAGAAAGAAGTGGTGAGGAGCTGGTTGTTTGAAATGTCATTTTGTTAATTTGGATGTGTTGGTAGCTTGGTATGCTGCACTAAAATTAGATGGTATAAATAAGCAACCTTGCTCTTCTCGAAAGAAAACAGATTGAAAACATAATATAAAATCCAGCTTAGCAAAACAGTGTATGTTTAAAAAATCTTTTAATAGGTGCACTACAAGTGTCAAACTAAAATGAAGAGCAATGGGTGGAGGGTTTCAGTGATGATATGAGAACTGTTTTGAAGGTTTGAAATTTTGTTGTTGGAAGAAGTCTGTCATCTTCAGCCACGTTTAAGATGTGGTTTAAAAGGTCAGGTAGCCTTCAAGAAAGCCCCCCTCTCCCCCTCCCCCATCCCCAATCCAGTAAGTATTTTTCTCGGGCTATCTTTCTTCTGTTTTGCCTCTAAAAGTGTACACTTTAAGGAGTTACAGATAAAGCTTAGTGTGGTGACTGTGTCAGGGGACTGCCCGAGGAAGGCTTTACATTTTACAGCTACATTATCTTTCTGTCCGTAGTTAAGATAAAGATCTAATATAAAATCACTTTGGAGTGTAATGCTTTCCCTAAATGAAATGAAGGCGTTAACCTAGTTGATTTGATACACTTTACCCTAGCTTATGAAGCTGGGAGGAAGGTGAGGTAGACTTTAATTAAAACTACAGCACAGATGCCTTCTAGCACTGTGCCCCGTACCTTGCTAGGACTGTACAGTAAGCAAAATAAAATGTACCTCACAGCCGAGGCAGCAGGCTGGAGCCGTGTTCAGTGAAAGTAATTTAATTAGTGTTGATCATGACTCCAGATGATGGTGATTTGATAAGGAATAATTTAGTACTTAACAGCCTTTTACATGCACCAACTCCATGTGGGAAGGTAAAGCAAATTGCACAAAATGAATGTGCTGCTTTCACTTGTGCCTGTGCCAGTGAGCTGGAAAACTGCCTGTTAGCAGACGTTCAGGCTCTCAGCGCTGTGATGAAATACCCAGCCAGTTCTCCACACAGGGCTGTGGTGTGGGAGTCTCTGCACTCCCGTTATTTAAAAATAAATAAGGGAAGTAATTTTTCATAACAGATGAACTCTGAGGAAGTAGCAAAGTTAAAATAAAAAGGAAAAAAAACCAGAAAAATATAGCAGCATTTGGCCTTTGTGCGAATCTGTGATACTGGCTTTAAAAAAGAGTCTTGGTGCAGTTGTGTTTTAATTCTCTGATTCAAGTCAAACAGATTGCCTACCTTTGCATCGGAGCCACCGTCCTGGAGTTGTGGGGCCCATCACGCACATTATAGATGTGCGGTGTGCGTTATCTGACCAAGACACGCAAGGAGAGTCAGCTGTAAAAGTTCTCTAGCAAAAACCTGAAGCAAACTACTGGGTGTCAGCCTGCTTTGCGATCACGGTGGAAAGCTGACTGGGCTGCATTTTGCCGTATTATTAAATTTGAGAATCTTTATTCAAGAAGTCCATATGGTCTTTCATTTTAGTGCAAGTTCAGACAGTTTTATGCAGAAAGAGTTCTTTTCTTGTTTTGATGTTCACCACTTTTCTTCTCTGTTTCTTACGTTACTGTGCTGTGTCCATGTATTTGTACCTGTTTTACTGTCTGCTTTTCCTTTGTGATCATTCCAGATAATTTACTGTTATCCACCAAACATAATAGCTGCATAGCAGTTTTAAAGACGATTCTTGTAAGTTCTGTGAAAATATGTGGCAAGATAATGTATTGCTATCTTGCAAATGCCTCAGCTGCAAGGCAGCGGTAGAAGCTGTCATGTAATAGGGTACGAGAGGACCTGTTTGTGAAAGACTTCTCTGAACATTGCCCAACTGTGGGAAAAAACAGTGGTGAGAATCTGGAATCCAGATCTTACAGATACTTAAGAGTTTATTGGTTCTGATGCTCACTTCTTAGACAACATTTAATTTACCTCTCCACCAAACACATGGGTGTGTATGCAAGTGCATTAGTATCAGAAAATACATAGTGTGTAACAAATTGTGTTTCAGAAGTTCAGGTGCAAGGAAAGGGACAAGATGCTACTTGATGGTATATAATAATGGCCTGCTTTTGTGCATGGACTTCCAGTGTCTGTGTCAGGCTGGAAGGTGATGTCAAACTATGGTGTTTTGGTGACAACATAAAAAAATCAGTGATAAAATTGACCTCTGAACTCTAGGTTTCTCACAGTTCAAAAATGTATTTACAACCTTATTTTAGATAAAACTTGAAGCATGTGTTTTCAAGCTGTTACATACCTGTATTTTAGTCCTTTATCCTCCTAGATACTTAACTCTAAATTTGTCTTATGTCAGGTGAACTTTGAGTTTTGTCCAGCTTTAATTTTGGTTAAGATTGGATATGAAATAAGGAAAGTTGTCTGGTTTAAACTAGTATGCTGGTTAACCTTGTCTTCATCTTTGGCCTTTTGCTTAATCCAGACCAACTTGTGCTTCTAATTAATAGTGCATTTCTGTCACACTCCCTCTGTTCCTTTTACCTTATAACAAAGTATGATTAACTTATTTTTTTTTTCTTGATTTGTGTCTATATCACATCTACTATTTACTTTGGTAAGGCCAGGATTTTATCTTGTATATTTTTGAGAAAAATTACTGAAGCCATTTCTTGTGTATTTTTGTTCAGATGTTGCTTATGTTATGCACTAAAGGTGCATGTAATCATCGAGTTTCATAAGTTTCAGTGCAAATGTTGATGGATTCTGTGGGACAAAAAGATTACTGATCATATGCTTGAAGCTGATGTATGTGAAATTTATTTTGGAATCATTCATGTGCGAACTACTATTGCATTTATAGCTAAAGCTACATCACTAAGATTACTTAGAAACATTTGGTGCCTGGGAAGTATTTTGCCTCTAACAACATTTACAGTAGTTAAGCCAAATATAAGTGGGCTGTTATTTTCCTGCTAATGAGATGGGATCCTGGCCACCATTCTATTAAACAATAAAAGTGCTAATAGCCAATGCGAAGGCTCTCTCGTATCTTATTTTTCAGTTGACACTCAAAGAAATATTTGAAATGTTTATTTCCTATATTGTTTTTAGTATTACAATGGTTTAATTAATCATGTGTTTAATTAGCAGTGTCTAGCTTACTTGAGAAAGCTCATCATTAATATTGTACTTGGGTTTTAATTACATTTTCTTTCTCTTTCCAGTGGCTTTTCATGGTCTCCCTGTGAAAATCAAGAAGGAACCCCATAGCCCATGTTCGGAACTTGGCTCTGCTTGCAGTCAAGAGCAACCATTCAAGTTCAGTTATGGGGAAAAGTGCCTGTACAATGTCAGGTAAAGCAATTGAGAGCCTGTTTGCAGTGAGAACTGCTGATTTAAATGAGGACTGACTAAAGAGTAATAAAACCATAACAGAGATCTTCTAAAAGTTACCTCTTCAGCAGATAACAGACTGATGAGATAATTCATTTAGCTGATGAACACTGATGGAGTTGTTTACAGTTGTATCAAACACATAATCATTTTAAAGCAGTGTTTTTCATCAAAATGCATGTTCTCCATTCCTTCTCCATGGGAGACAGACAGAGTTTAAAAACCTAGGGTGCAAGCGTGAAATAAAAGGAAGGAGTGTCTTGTTTTCTGTGAGTTGTGCTTAAAGTACTTTCAAAGTGTATTACACACATTAGGAGAGAGATCTGTGTAACATGCAAGAGATTGGCAGGTCTGAGCAACACAGTAGGTATTTGACAAGTTTTGCAGATGTTATGTGTGTATTTGTGGGTGGTTACAGTTTAAAATAGTATTTCATTAAGCTCTGCATCTTTTTTACTTACTCAAAAGCAAGTTGTCTTATTTTAT